TCTCACTCATCTCTTCTTTCTCATAACATTGTATTGAAATTCTAATTTATGTCATCATTTGTATTGTTTTGTGATTTTGTTTTATTCAAATTCATTAATTCTTCTTTTTAATTCAATTGAGTTTTTATATTTTGTTCAAAGTGTCATCAGAAGTAAACATGTTCAAACAATGTTAGTCATGAATAAAGTGATTAGTATTTAGTTGACACATTACAAACAAACAATTTTATTTATTATATTGTAAAATAACACATTCTCTATCAACTGTTTTATTGAAAATAAATAATTTATCAGTTAATATAATATTTTTTGAAATTTGAATGATGAATTGTAAAAAATATAAAAGAATGATGTTGTTGTAAATTTAGAGAGTTAGAAATGTCAAAAATATAGAAAATAACCAATCTAGTGTGTATGAAACGATGATTAATAAGTTGTATTCAAATGTTGACAATATTATAAATCACAATTCACTGGATTATATTATCTTATTAATCACAATGTATAATTAATTATAAAGAAACTATTTCATATCACTCATCATGAGAAAACTTAAATTAAATAACAACAACATGAAAACAAGTAATTCACAGAAATGAATAAATTGATAATAAATAGAGACATTTAAAGTAATCTAGATATTACTATTAAAAAAGAAATGAATCAAGAATATGTTAGGTATTTGATTTGTTTCATTAATATTTAATCTTTTATAATATTTATTTATAAAGAATTTGAGTTGAAAAACGAATACATCTCATCAAATATAGTGTTTAAAAGATTGAATGACAATGATGATGTATTTAAATGAGTGGAGTAACTTCTTTTATAATCAATGATTTGTTTTTTATTGATTATTACAATCAATTTTGAAGAAGAGATTTCAACTTGAATTTTCTGTTTGAACCACTACAATAATAACAATGAATATCACAATGTTTTAGAACTTCCATTCAACATTGATAAAGATATGGATAGTGCAAAATGTTTTAAATATGAGAAGAAGTATATGAATGTATTTCATAAACAATAGATTAGAATAACTAACAATCAAAACATAACAACAAGAATGGAGAAGATAAAGAATATAGGATAATTAATAAAGAGAATACACATGAGAGGAATATTCAAAATACAAAAACACTATCTCATAGTAAATCTAGTAATAGTATCACTACTATTGAAAATAAGAATGGTAAAGATGATAAATCTAATATTAAATATCTGATTATCAAATTAAAATAATTAATGATGATAAATGTACACAATATATGAAGATAGTAATAATTCATATGATTTAAGTAATGAAATACCATCAAAATATATTACTGATATTAAACTTGAAAATACTGAGATATTATAAAACACAATACACATACTACAATAATAGTAATATTTATTATAATAATAAAATGTTCATTATGACTCAAATTGGTGTTGTTCAATATAAATGTAATGAAAATAATGCATATAATGAATTTGAAAATATTATTATTGATAGATTTGATGATATGAAATGGAAATTAGAAATATTATTAATATTAAAAGTAAAGTACATATTCGTGATATTTCATCTTCATTTAGAAAAGTTGAACAAATGAAATCAAGATATTTATTAAAACATGATGTAGAAATGACATATTTGATTCAAATGATATTTATGAATTGAATAAAGATGATAATAACATTCAATATAATAAAAGAAATGATATTACAATTCATGGTACTAAAGATATTATTACAATATGTGTTTTATATATTGAAAATAGATGTGATAAAAGAATGAAGAAATAATATTTGATGGAGAATGAATTTAAACAAGAGTGTTTATTGTTGTAATATCTATGTTTGTATAATTTGAATATTGAAAAGATACAGAACATCCATGTAGTTTGTTAAAGATGTAGTTTAAATGGATGAAAGAAATGAAATGATTTATTTAAAGATAAGCAATGTTAA